AACTCTCTCACGTGGGTGACAGAGAGCCATGCTGACCCGCCGTGAATCAGAGCAGGAAGGATCAGACCCACCAGGGCTCAGGGCGCCCTCTCCCCAGCTATTCTCTACAAAAGCTACCACTGCCGTCTGCCCATCTGTGTCCTCTGGTAACCATGTGCATCTGACATTGGGTGGGTGTCCGTGGCCCAGTAAGGACGGTCCCTACCCCAGGGGCTCAAGACCCCAGGACACGGCCCCCAGGGAGGAGTCCACAGGCCTTCACATCAACACGGCAAAGCCGCTCGGCAACACAGAACCCACCCACAGGTCAGGAAGCCTCAGGCTTATTAGCCTGGCCCCTAGGCCCCTGGGGCCCCATAAGCATTTCCTCCAAGATCCAAGTTCCACCCCAAGTCCCTTTCGGAGAGAGTCCACTTTCCCAGGGCCCACACCCAGGAGATGGAGAGACGCACTGTGTGATGGGACCACTGTGTGCTTGTGCTCAAACAGCAGTAACAACCCAAATGCATTTCGGGCTAAATGAAAATGCATGATGCTTTTAACTTATTTATGTGCTTCTTTAACAAATTTAGGCTCCTGCCTCCAGTCACGAGCCAGGACACATTTCCAACTCCCAGTCTCTACCCCACGTCATTTTCTCTCAGGAACATTTGTACTGCTCAATATTTCATAGAGAAGAAAGCTACGGCGCACTCGGGCTATTTCCTCCTCCCCACAAAGAGCAACTACAGATAATTGAATGGGATTTTAACACCGGCCACTTAGGCGTTTTGCAGATGGGGGCCGAGGCCGTGAATGGGTGAACACTCACAGCCTCAAGGCCTAGAGGCCTGGGTCCCCAGTGCAGACCCGGGCACCCCCTTGCTCATGGCGGCACCCCTCCTGCATGGCCAGCGCACAGAGCCCGGTCCACAGCACCCAAAGCTCCCTGTGGGTCCCGAGGATGCTGTACATCCTCCTCACATGCTCTGCTCCCCCAGCTACTGAGAGGGAAGAAACATCGGAGGAAGAGACTGGCTCTCCTGTGCCCAATCCAGCCTGACCAAGCTTGTGTGCAATCCATCCTGCTCTACGCACGGCCCAGGCCACTGTGCCGGATGCTCAGGGTACAGGCACGGGGCAGCCTGCCAAGGACCCCCGGCAACCACGTAACTGGCCAGAGGAAAGAAACTCACCATCCAGGGGCCACAGCCACACAGCAGGTGGAACGCGGGAGGGGGACCGAGTCCAAGCACCACTTTGGAGGGCCCTCCAGGAGGTAACGGAAGAATGAGAAAGTGGGACCGGGTGACACTCATCCAAGGAGGACATTAAGAACAAATGTATGTATTTGCTTCTATGGAAGCATGAACTGTGAAATCAAAAGATGACTGGTTGTCTGCAGAGGAAAGGAGGACTGAGGGCGCACGGGAAGAGATGCCGGTTTCTCTGGATACACCTTGACCTTGCAACCACACAGGCCACTTTAGAGCAACTGCAGAAGCAGGTTTAGTTTCAACAAGAACACTTTAGATGCGTGCAATGGGACAAGAGGAAACTGCGACGTTCTTCGCCTGAATCTCGTCACGAGGGGACGTGAGACACACCCAAACGGAGGGACCTGCGCTGTTCAAGAACGTCGGCGTCAGGAAACACAAAGGCAGGCCGTCACAGCTCCAGGGGCAGACGGAGAGACGAGACACCTGCACGTGACGTGACAAACAGTGAGGTGCAATAAGGCCTGAGGCTAGATAACGTGTGGTATGGACGTTACCTTCTGGAGGCTGGTGACTGTACTGGCAGGTAAGAGAGTACTGGCTTTTAGGAAATACACACAGAAGAGCTGCAGGGACATCAGGTCTGCAGAGGACCCCAGACAGGTAGATGGAAGGAAGGACGGCGGCCTCATGGACGGACGGATGGAGGGATGGATGGGAGAGAACGGGACAGATAGGCCGACAAACATGGTGAAATGTTACCCTTGGGGATAATCTGGCTGAAAAGACTACAGGGACTCTTTGTATCATTCTCGTGACCTTCCTGTAAACTGGCTCAAAATGAAAAGTGAACAGAAAACAAGGGTCATCTCTAAAAATCTAAATCACTCACAAGAACCTGGATTTTAAGCACGAGAGAGAGATTCAGAGAACAGTCTGACGATGTTGAGTGAAGACCTCGTGGCTTGAGAACAGGGTCTCGATGAGCAAATTCGCACACCAGCGCAAACAGCCTCCAAACACGGAGGCAAGGAGGCGCCCATCGACGGATGGACACACAGACACGATGTGGTCCAGCCCTTCAGCCAAACAACACTCAGCCTTGGAAAGGAAGGGCACGCAGATACGTGCTGCCACACGGATGAGCCCTGGGGACACAGTGTCAGTGAAAGAACCCCGACCCCAAACACAAACACTGTAGGTTTGGTTACAGGAGGTCCCTGGAGGAGTCAAACTCCTAGAGACCGAAGGGAAGATGGTGGCTGCCAGGGCTGGGGGAGGGGCACGCCGGGGGAGGGGCACGCTGGGGGAAGGGCACAGGGACTTGAGGTTTAACGGGCACCGGGTTTGCTTCACAAGATGACTACGTGGTGACAGCCACATGACACCGTGAACGTGTCAACACCACGAGCGGTGCACGTCAAATTTGCATGGCAAATCTTATGTTATATGTTTTATCACAACATTTTTTAAAGAAAAAAATGAGCACCCCAGGTCCTGGAAGTGATTTTGAATCATCTGCACGAACTCAGGACACCCCATCTCTGCCTGCTATAAATGGTTAGAAATGGTGACAGCAGCGAGTACTCCAGAATCCTTACTGAGCTTCTAAACACCACTTTCGACCAAAAGGAACCAGGAGAAACGGCTACTTCCAGGACGGGGGCAGGAAATGTCGAAGAGGAGCCTGGAGAGGCTTTGTCACAGCGGAAGGCTCACAGAGAACTGAGTGGCGTCGGGAAGAGGAGCCCGGAGAGGCTTTGTCACAGCAGAAAGCTCACGGAGGACTGACTGGTGTCGGGAGGACTCAGAAGCAAACCGAAGCGGCCCCCACGGCCCAGAGGCGGGTCTATCTGGGCACCGATGGGGCAGCAGCAGTTCAGACACAGCTACGTTTAAGGCCACGATGGTGTGAAGACAGCAAAAACCCACATAAGCCCTACACCCTCAGGGGTCACCTTCCGGAGATGCTCTAAGTAGGGAACCAGCTCATTACTTTGAAAACCAGACAATAACGGGAAAGAATTCAAGTGTGTTTCCTGCCTCTGCTTACATGAACAGTCCCCAGGAGCAACTAAGTAGTCTGGTTTTCAGAAATATGTTGGTGAGTAAATGGAGGAAGGGGAGGCAGGAATGATCATCTCCTTACGTCCAGCGGGATGGCAGATTGAAGTCATGACACCCGAGGACAGACCCCACCCCAGGGAAGCGGCCACCGAGGGAGTCCCCCAGGGAGCGTCTGGTGTCAGGTCCACGGGGATGCCCTGAGCAAGGCCCAGGGTGCAGCCCCCCAGAACTGGCCTGGTTTCCTCCATGAAGAGCAAGAGACGCGAGAACCGGCAACACAAGAGCCCGGGGGCCGCGCGGCCACTCCACGCAGGGCCTGGGCGCTGTTCATGCCCTGAGCTCGGGCTGGAGGTCTGATGATATGAAAAGATAAGCTGCTGTCTTCAGTTGTGACTATCAGACTTGTGGCCTTCGTTTTTCAGACACAGCGAGCTGTCTACTGAAAAATATAGACGAGGGACGGGAGGCGGGCAGAGACCCGCCGGCCACAGCCGCCTCTTGCTGAAGCTGACGGCGAGCGCGTGAGGTGCTCTGCTGCGTCTGTCTGAAACGTTCCTTAGTTTAAAAAGAATGACCACAGCGGCCCCCCCATGGGCCGTCAACTCCGAACCGGACACTTTCAGGACCTGAGCTACTCAAGAATACACCAGAAGCTCTTTTGGCAGAACACGGAGGCCGGACCCAAGGCCAGACCCGAGGGCTCCCCACCACGGCACAGACACCCACTGTCAAGTGCAGGCGAGGGGCCCCACAAAGCTGCAGAGCGGGGGTGCCCCTGGCTAGAGCTCAGACGTCACTCGGCGTGCGGATGACAAGGGAAGCAGCTCGGATAGGGACCCCGAGGGAGAGGTGTCTGTGCGCCAGCAAAGGGCACAGCCTGCTGGATGCGGAGCGCAGGAAGGAGATGGGGTGGGGGTGGGGGGCCGGGCCCTGCCCGCGGGCCCTTCCTCCTGGACCTGGTGGCTCTTGGCCACGAGGCTGCTCCTCTATCCCTGTATCATCCCAGCAGCTCTGCTCCCGCCTTGGCATCAGCCGTGAGGCTCCTCATCGTGCAATGGGGACACACACACACACACACACACACACACACAGGCGCCGGGGCCTCCTCTGGGTGAGGTCACCTGCCCCAGCCCTGCGGTTCCCATCGGCAGAGCAGGAAGACAGACGGAGGTGAAAGATCAAAGCCAGGACGTCGAATGAGATCACGTTGTGTGAGGACCTGCCAGACGCCTCCGTGGCAATTCCCACTATGACCACGCCAAGAGGCCACAGCCCACAGCAGCGGGTGGCATGGTGAAGCCACACCCGTGGCCCAGATACCAACACGTGTGGCTACCCGATGACGAAATCCTCAGGCTCTCCCTCCCCCCGACGCGAGAGTGAACAGAACCGAGTATGAAACCTCAGTCTCTTTACCAGGCTCTGACCCGTTCCGAGCTGAGCGCCGGAGTACAACGCACCGCGCTCACCGACAGTACCGGCCTCTCCAGGGAGTCTCTGATCCCTTGCCTGTGGCCCCCCCCTCACCCCAGAGCAGAGACGGCGCCGCTGTGCGGACCAGGGCATGGGTCGTAGTGGAGCAGCAGAGGGGGCTTCTGGAAGCCCGTCCGCATGGGGCCACGCGTGTCCCCACCACGACCGAGCCCAGTGACAGCGGTCGTGGGGCTTCCCCAGCCCAAACAGCCCGTGCACTTCTGTGGGATGGCGTCCTCCCCCTCCCTCCCCACCGGTACTCACGTAAGAAGTGCTTTTCCAATAAGGCAATTTCCAGGTGGCCTTTGATCTCATTTAATCGATCAAACTCTGTCCGGTTAAAGTCCTGGACTCCGGCAGCCATGATGAGGGTCCCCGGACCGGCCTACAAGAGAAGCAGCAAGAGCTCAGAGGAGCCGCTTCAAGGCATCCTACGGGCACATCAACTGGTTCTCTAAGGGGTGCCCCGAGGACCCCTCATCTGCAGGAGCTGGGCCCACGGAGCCCCCGGGGGACAAGGAAGGCCTGGCTCTGCCCTGAAGCCCATATCTGTTCACCTCGGCTCCACCTGCTGGTGGAAGGGACATCTCAGACAGTGTGGATATCCAAGGAGCCCCGGTGAGGTCAGCTTTTAGAAGAGATAAGAAGAAAAAAAAAGCAAAACACTGAGCCTCTTGATAGTCACAGGGAAGGAAACCACAGAGACCCACGCTGGCCAGTGTGGCCCCCTCTGGGGAGGCAGGGGAGCCCATCCCCGGGGCCTGTCCCCCTCATGCCCCAGAGGCAGAGCGACAGGACCCCGGGCAGGTGGGGTGGGCACGTAAATCTGGAAGAATGGCAGCTCCCCAAGGTGTGTGAGCCCCAAAGCGGGGCCCGTCCCGTTCCACAGAGGGCTAATTAAAACCACTGCCAGACGTCCCCAGGGGTGCAGGCCAGGCTCCGGTTACAGATGACCGCTGCCCGCTGCCACTCGCCAGGGGCTGGCACAGCTGGCTGTTTGGCTCCTGCTGATGGGAGGGGAAGGGGAGCAGGGCAGCCAGGCCCCCACCCACCCGGCGCGCAGGGAGCGTTCGGCTCACACACTGGACACTTCCGTGGTCACCCCCACAGCTGCATCCTGATGCTGACCTGGCGAGAAGCAGCAGCTGTGTGCCGCCCCCCCCCCCCCATGTGACAGGGAGGATCTGACTCCCAGTCCCAGTCTCCATGACCCACCTCCAGGCCAGGAGAGGGCGGGAGGGGTCCCACAGCCTGGACAGGGTCCATGCCAGATCCGGTGACCCCTCCATGTACACAAGTTCAAGGCCACACCCCAGGAAGGAGGAGCTGACATCGGGAAGCCAACAGCTCCCGGGAAGACCTGGCCTGTGGCTGCTCTGACACTTGACCTGTCGGGACTTTCTCGCTACTGGGGCGTGAGTTTCCGTGCTGGTCTGCAGCCCCCTGGGGCCTGGCAGCAGTGGGCACGGGGGCCGGGGGTAACAGGGAAGATGGCGCATGCCTGACCCACTCGCCCCTGCAAATGAGCTGGTCTCTCCCCTGCCCACCCTCCACCTTGACTGCCAAGGCGGCAGCCGCACAGTGGAGGGCGGAGGCGGCTCTGCACTGACGAACACTCAACTCCATTATATCCGCCAGCCCCTCCCCCAAAGCGAGCAGGAGGTCCCCAGCTTGTGGGGCCACGTCCAAAATGCACTAATCCAAGACCTTGGAAGGCTGATGCAGGTCAGTCTCTAGGATGCTGGAATCAAGTCCATCTGGAACTCGACCTTGAGCTTCAATAATCCCTATAGCCGCCCCCTCCCCCCCCCGTCGGGTCTAAGAGAGTCAGGGCCCTTGAGGGTTTGCGGGAGACCCCGAGCTGGAGCCCAGGGAACAGCAGGGACGGGGAGGAGCGGCTCCGGGGAGCTCACCAGCTGGCCGGGAGCAGGGATGGGGATGGTGGGCCCCGGGTGCAGGCCCCTCTATGGCCCCTTGGGTCCCCTCAGCTGACCCCTCCGCTGACCCTCTCCCCTGCCCACACCCTTCCCCTCGATCACCACGTCCACTTGTCTCCTCTGCCAGGGGCACAGAGCGAGACCAGCCAGTCACGAACGGGCAGGTACCACAGGGCTCTCTCGCATGAGGTCCCAGGAGGATTCGGTCCACAGAGACCGAGTGCGCGGTGGGTGCCGGGGGCTGGGGCACGGGTGGGGACGGGGCTTCGGTGTGGGGGGATGACCAAGTTCTGGAGGCGGATGGGGGTCACGGCTGCACAGTACAGTGAACACGCTTGATGCCGGCCAACCGTACATTTAGCAGTGGCTAAAATGGTGAGTTTTTACGTTTAGTATCTTTTACCACAACAAGAAATGTTAAGTGAAAAGAACAAAGTCTAAGCACAGAGGTGACCAGCCTCCCTGACAGCAAGAGCCACACACCAGAGCCACGCTCTTCACCCACCGGGCCAGCAGGGCAGAAGCCCTGAGGATGCCCCGTGCCATGGCAGCCACGACGTGGGCTCTCTCAGGTGGCTGTGGGAACAGACTGTACCCGCAGGAGAGCGACCTGGTCACGGCTGCCAGGACGACCGATGCCCTGGACCCAGCACACCCACCTGGGGGCCAGGGCCACGTGGGAGAAGGTCCTTCAGCGGGGAGAGGTTAACGCATCCGATGGCACCTCCCTCGTGGGAGCCCGAACCCTGCGCCCCCGCCACGGACACAGTCCTGCCTGGCTGTCTGTTCACACAGCCCCTGTGCCCACCACCACTCAGACCCCCCGCAGCCTGAGACCCCACCTCAAAGGGAGGCACGGGCTCGGCCCTGAGACTCTCTGCACCATCGGCCACCACCCCCATGCAGTGGGCCAAGCTCCAGGGTGAGTCCAGGTCTCCACGGAGGTGGCACCCAGGGCACGGCCGCTGCCGCTAAATCCCGGCAGGACAGATGGACAATGGAGCACGGACCTCTGCGGGGTTCTCATCACACCCCGGGGGGAGCTCAGACCTGCTTGTGGGGGACTCGTGTTCCCCAGATGCCCACAGCACCCTCGACCCAAAGACCGCCGTTGAGAGCCACGGCTCCCGGCACCCAGGCAGGCACGGGCCAGAACGGGAAACACACCGCTTTCCTTGCAGGGCAAGCCCGTGGCTGTGGCTCTCGGCAGCACAACAGGTACCAGAAGACAAGGCGGCGGGGTGCTGGCCCACCCGCGGACCCTGAGGCCAGAGGACCCGCTGGGGAACAGCGGCCCACACCCAGCAGGCTCCCCTCCGGCTCCACAGCACCCAGCCCACCTGATCAGGCGGCCGGCTCCTAGTGAATTATTCAGTCCTGCCGGGAGCGGGCTCGTGGTCCCCATTCTGGTCTAAGGCATTAATAATAGAAGGAGCCAGGGAAGGCGAGCGCTCACAGGCCACACCTGGAAAGAATGCGGGCTGGGTGTTCCGAGGAGACAGCAGCAGACCACCGACACGGTCATCCACACGGGGCAAGATGGCTGCGGGCGCCTTCCCCGGTGACAGGGAGGCCTCAGGCATGGGTGCCTGCGACGGCGAGCCCCGTGATCACACCTGGCCCGGGAGCTGCCCCAGCCACCGACGAAACACAAGCCTCCAGAAGGCAGGGCCCACTCAAGCCTGGGTCCCATCTCGGCCACGCTGTCTAGCCAAGGTGCCCAACGGGTACCTGCTGTGCCATGGAAGGGCACTCTGCTGACGGGCCCACAGCGGCCAGGTCTGTTTCCACATGGGACAATGGGGACCAGCCTGGGCTCAGCCAGCTGCCAAGGGCCAGGGACATCAAGGCTGGGGTCTCTGCCTCATTTCTGCATGAGAAGTTTGCTAACCACCCAGAAAAGCAACAAGGAAGGGAAAGAAATCCAGTGACTGGACAGACTCGTGGTGAAGGCAAGGCTGTCTGATCCTCAATCGGGAAGTGGGGGGCGGGGGGACGAGCCCCAGCTGCTGAGGGCTGGTCAGGGGGTTAAGACGAGAACAGAGGGGAGGCCAGCCCGGGCAGGACTCAGCTGCCAAGTCCACACTCCGCTTGGCCACCTGAGGACGGGAGATGGGCCCCAGCCCCCCACACTGCGGGACACAGGACATGCCTGCTGCCAGGAGGCCCGCACAGCATACTCACAGGGTCCCTCAGCTCCTCGCTGTCCCGGGGCGAGGTCCGAGGTATTCTCAGGGGCACTTCATCTCCACATTCGGTGTCCGAGGCATTCGGAGACTCTGCTAGGTCGAGGAAGTCATCTCTCTTATGACCTCTGAACCTGATTTTGTCCAGCCTCCTTAGCATGTTCAGCACTGAGCCTCTCTGCTTTACCTTAACATGACGGTCGGGGTCCCTGCAAGAGAAGGGGGGAGGCTGGGTCACTCACCTGCCGGCCACCTGCCAGCGTGGCACACCCACCAGCCTCAACACACGGTTCTGCAAACACCTCGGTCCTGTGGCCAAGCCCTGCCCTCAGGGAGTGGTCGGCCTGACTTTCCAAGGAAAACCCGGGACCCACTGGCTCCCACCTCGCACCCACCAGCCTGGGCCCCCCCATCACCCCCGCTCAGCTGGCCAAGCTCCTGCCACTGCCCCCAACCAAAGTCGCTCCCCCCCGCACCCCACAAGACAGAGCAGTTTCTCAGCAGGACCTCCCCACCATAAAGATGGCCAGCCTGGTGCACGGGGAGGCCAGAGACCCTGGGGAACGCGCGCGGCCAGGAATGCTTCAAAGAAAAGGGGAGGAGGGCTGACCGCTCGTCAGCCCTCAGAACTGCCCAGCCATCAAGGACTCAGTCAATGCTGTGGTCAGTACGCTGCCCAGGCAAGAGCAAACACCCGAAAACAATGAGAATGCTCGGCATTAGGGCGTGTCAGTGGCTCTCTTCGGAACCCAGTAGAGCCCCAGCATTGTGTCCCCCAACTGGGCCTGGTCCCCATGCCCAGGGACACCGCCCAGGTTGCTCTGTCTGCCTAGAGCGCCTTCCCGCTTGCCTGGGCAGAGACAGCTGAGGTCCTGCTCAGAGAGGTCTTCCCACACGCGGGCTGGTCGGGAGCCCCGTGCTCGCCCTCCTGCCTCCCGGGCCCCTCCAGCCGGGAAGGACGGCCACACCAAGGCGAGGACACGCGTAAGTCCAGACACGTGTGCTCGCCTGGGAACGGACGTGTCGTGGGGCACCCCGTGTCTCTGAGCCGTGGCCAGGGAAGGCAAGGCGCCCCCCCAGGACCCCCAGGCTCATCTGCATGTCTAGCCACCCTCGCTCCGAAGCAGAGGCCGCAAACCTCACCCCAAGCCCAGGTCACACAGCTCCTGGTGCCTGCCGGAGGGCGGGGGCCTGGGCACAACCGCACTCGAAGCCCGCTCTGCCACTTACCACCTTTCTGGGCCCTGGCTCCTGCCTTCGAAACGGGAATAATACCAGTAAGACCAGAGTGTTCCGGAAGCTCCAGATGACGCACCCGGGGAGCCTGCGGCCAGCCCCAGGGAGGGGGCTGAGTAGGATGGGATCCGGCCCTCGGCTCTGGCTGTCCCAGTTGGGAAATCTCACGGAGAACCACAAACGCACGGAGAGGCACTTCCTGTTTGGGACCATCTGGGACGGTGCAGGCACAAGGCTCTCAGAGGGCCCTTCGATCACAGCCCCCCACCTCCAGGGGCCCTCTGCCCCCTTGGCAAGCCTTCCTGCCCTGAGCTGGGGATGCCCACAGTGGGCAGCAGGACTCCAGCCAGAACGGACCCGACCTCACTCTGGTCCCCGAGAACCAGGCGTGTGGGGGAGGGGCTGCAGGGGCTCCTTCCAGCTTGCCTGGGACACAAGGTGGCCCCTGTGGCCCTAGGAGCAAAAGCCACAGGACATACATACAAATGTCCAGTGCCCCTCGGGACCCAGGGGAGCCCAGAAAGGGTGATGGGGGGGCCACAGGAGGGCAGCGCTGCTCGAGTGTGGGGGGGCAGGGCCGGCCACCTGGACAACCAGCTGCCGTGAGCTCCAGATCAACGAGACGGGTAAGTAAACTAAACATGCGCATGCGCGCACACACACACACACCCCTAAAGAAAAGAGAACTTCCTGCTGACCAACCCTAGAGCGGGAGTAACAGTCTGTGCAAGTATGACAAAAATAATCACAGAGCGAAAGGGTCTAACAGTCAACTAGACAAAAGTAAATTTCCACTTGCTAAAACCAATACGGCGAGGGGGCGCCTGGGGGGCTCAGTCAGTTAAGCGTCCGACTTTGGCTCAGGTGATGATCTCGCGGTTCATGGGTTCAAGCCCCGCGTCGGGCTCTGTGCTGACAGCTGGGCGCCCGGAGCTGCTTTGGATTCTGTGTCTCCCTCTTTCCCTGTCCCTCCCCTGCTCACACTCTGTCTCTCTCTCTCTCTCTCAAAACTTATTTAAATAAAACATTAAAAAATTAAAATAAAAATGCAGTGAAACAAGAGATACACGTAGCAAATGTGGGGCATTGAAGGATTACTGTCTTTGTCCTAAGTCCGCTTCAATAAACGGGCCTAAGTTCCAGGAACCGGGCGCACAGACGGGCCAATTCCGCGGGCAGAGGAATTCACAGCAAGAGGAAATCTCGAGCAAAGACCTCCAACTTCACTAAGAAGGAAACCAAAGCCAGTGCACACAGCAGAGGGTGGCAGGGACCGTGCTCACAGATGCGCCCGGAACCGCAGTCAGTCTTGAGAGCAAAGCCGCACGTGGGCAGAGTCCGGCCCTCGCAGCGAGTTGTGAGCCAGCAGTGCTGCCAGTCACCCACCCGCTCCCCAGATGGGCAGGGCCGGAGTCCCGGAACAGCACGTGGGGCTCCCCCAGGACGCCGTCCCCGAGTTACAAAGGCAATTATTACTGCCACCCGGTCCCTGTTAAGGCAAACGGGTGTCTAAAATGACCAAAGGTAACATGGGACCCTGCAGTAGGTTTATGGGCCCCTCGGTGGTTTGTAAAACCTCTCTCCCAAGACATCCCAGGATGCTTCCCTATTGCTTTACGTTCATTAATTTTGAGAGAGAGAGAGTGCGCCAGCGGGGGAAGGGCAGAGAGAGGGACAGAGGGAGAACCCCCCGCAGGCACAGCGCCCTCAGTGGCTCAAACTCATGAACGCAAGAACATTACCTGAGCTGAAGTCAAGAGTTGACGCTTAACCGACGGAGCCGCCCAGGTGCTCCTGTTCTTTAAACAGATAGAAATTAAAAAAAAAAAAAAACTGGGTATGGGAAATGCAGCAACGGAAAACCTACTCCCTTCCATCTTCAAAGAGGCCCGACGGGCTCCTCGGACGCTGCGTGCCGAGGAGAGCAGGGTACGGGGGCTCGAGAACAGGGCGCAGGGACACCTGGCTGACCTCTGCCCGGAGGGAAGCGGTCAGCCTGCGCCCGCCAGCCAAGCCCTGCCCCCCTGCACGGCTCTGGTTGGGTGGGGCCTTGCTGCCCTGATGCTGGGGCCACCTCCCGTCCCACTTCAGCCCCTGCAAGCTAATGAGGTGGGGACACAAGAACACGGGACAAAGCGCCAAGTGTCCAGCCCGGCACCATCGGAACACAACGCACGCCTCGGCCCCAGCCCCACGCGCCCGGCTAGCCAGGGGCACGTCCCGCCCGCCGCCAGCTCGGCCCAGCCCTGGGCTCCTCCTGCCGCTCCTCGCGTCAGCCTGCAGCCGGGGGTCCACACACGCAGCCCACCCCAGAGCCGGGCTCCCAGAGGCCCACTCTGTCCCCGTCACCCTGCTCCCCCAGAGTCCTTGGGCCCCTCGAACGATGAAGCCTCCAGGCTGCTGTCACATCAGGACCACACACCGTGACCCCAGGCCGCCCCAGCGGAGGCGGCCCCTTCGGCAAGGGGAGCCCACTACGTTGCATCCCTGAGCCAGCCCAGAGCTAGCCCGCCCGGCCCAGGACGCCTGACCACATCTCAGTTACACCTGCAAAATCTCCGTTCCACGTGAGGTCATGTTCACACATTCCGGGTGGACTTGAATTTGGGGAGGACACACCGTCCAGCCCGGTACGCCCCCCAACATTCAGATGTAGACAGAAAACCAATAAGGACCATTGTCACAGACAGAGAGAAGGCCGGATCTCAGACACCGAATGTGACCCAGAGGGAAGCTTTCCACCCAGAGCCGGCGTCGACCGGGTCTACTCTCGAGGCGTCCTGCCTGTACCCCGTGTTCCGGGTGCCCGCTGCCATGTGTCCCCAGCCCCCCAGTCAGCCCTCCCTTCATCCCACCGGCTCCCACTCCCCAGCCCTACCTCCCCAGAGCCGGCCTCCGGCAAGCCCCCACAGGCCCACCCCAGGCAGCTCAGGGCAGCGCCTGTAAGCCCTGCCCCCACCCCAGTGGACTGGGTGCCCAGCGGGATCTGCTGGCCCCGCCCCGCAGCCCTCAGGGGGAGCACCCTCCGTGTACCTCCGTGCGGAAGCAGGCGCGCCGGGGAAGGGCCCCTGGCTGGAGCTACTCCACCTCCCCGCTCAGAGCCAGGGCGCCCTGCACAGACCCCGGGACCGTCCTCCCCGGGCGCAAGCTCGGGGCAGCTGGCGCTGCGGCGCAGGGTGGCAGGGCTTGCCCAGCTCGAGGCAGCACCCACCGTGCTCCGTGCCCTCTCGTGGGACCGAATCCGGCAGTGCCGGCCCCGGGACACAAAGCACACTGCTCTGGAAACCCGCTGAATGGCTTCTGGACACACAAAGGCGCCAGTGTCTGGGGAAGCTGGACTTGGAAACCACAAAGGACTTGATTTCCCTTCCCGGCCAAGACTTTTTAAAAGGTGGTTCCTGGTCTCCGGCGCTTGCCGAGGCCTCGCCATCCTGCCTCGAAACACGGTGAACACCCGCCCGGCCTGGCGTTGCCCCCTGGGTTATCCGGTGGCCCCCCTACTGATCTGGGGATAAACAGGGTCCACTTTCCCACAGGAGGCAGGCCCATCCTCAGCCTTATTCCCGGGGAGTCACAGATGTTGAGAACTGGGCGCCTCCCCCACTCCCCACAAGCCAGTCCCGGGGACCGCCTGGCCCTCTGCCACGTCTCACTCCTCTGGGAGGACAGCCCCAGACTCCGCGGGGGGAGTGGCCTGGGGTGGCCGCCGTGGGTCCCCAGGCTTTGCAGGGGGAACAGGAGGGCAGGGAGGAGGTGCGGATTCAGGTGGGCCCTAATCGGCACCCCGAAGGCCTTGTGCCCCGAGCCCCAGCACCCACACAACTCCTGCCCGGCTCTGTGGGGCCCTGTGCTGGGCGCTCCTGGGAGGAGTCTGATGCCTGCGACCCACCCACAAGGCACACAGGACCACTGACCATGTCCCCAGCCCCATGCCAGGCTCAGGATGCGGGCTCACACCTCCTGACCCACGGGT